ATTACTTCCCCTCTAATTAAAAAAATAGCACTCTCAATGTAACTTCAACAGAACTAATTAGAATAGATACAGGATTTGTGTCTGTATTTAAATAAAAGTTAATTGTTTCAACCCCGTCTGGGGTTGTTGATCTTACTCAGTTAGAATGTAGATAGAGTGGATTATTGGTTCTTATGGAGGTTTGTGACCTTTTGCCATTAAAAGACAGAAGGATCAACGTAACTATTTAATGTTCCTGACGTAAACTTTTATGTAGCTACGCATCGAAGGATTTTTTTTTGTTATTTGATTGAGATGGAAATTTAAATACTTACAGGATAATTAGAAAACTGTTAAATAACTCTTAAAATTATTATTCTATGTACCTTGTTGATTAAAGTAATACAAAATTGTGGTGTATTGAAAAAAGTTGGAACGTGTAGTTTAGTATAGGTACCTATATCGAATGCAACCTCAGAACACTGCAAATGGAACTGTTTTCTACCAATGAATTGAGATTATTATCAATTACATTTATTCGTCTTCGATCTGACTGTCTATAATAATGAAACATGATGCAGATTTTTCTAAAAAAAAACTGTATACTATTATTCGAACAAAGACATTTAGTACTAAGAGCCACTTTACAGTTCGAAATGTTCCGTGCTGCAAATACTTGTACATTTGCGTCAGGCATTCTTTTGCTTCCCCCAATCCAGCTTGGGTTCCAGCCAGTATTCCCTTCTATGGGGTTTGTATGGCGGCACTGCAGCCCTATATGCTTATTTCGCAACCATTTGGATGTCCTACTCCAGGGACAACGAATATGTATACGTCTACATGCCATTTTTCGAAAGAAATGTTTAATGTGGCCATGACTGTCAACAAATAATCTTGATTTAGTCATTAATGGAAAGAAAACTAAATACATCAACATTAATAAACATGTTACACAACAATCACAATATTAACAGTTCTGTTTATTTACATGAAAGAAAAAATTAGTGAGACTTCTGTTGTTGCAAATGAGATGTCAAATAAATATACATATCATGCTTTGTTACTTTTAGCAGAATGCAAGCTGAACTAGAGTCATCTGATAACCTGTGTCTATAAGTGAAAAAACTAGTGTCGCCCATTTGGACGATGGCTCTAGTAATATATGCTCGAAGAGTTTTGTACGTCTTATTGGACGTATTTAAGCCGTCTATTTACTTAATGGAAATTCGTTAAAAAAAACAAATGAACACTTGTCTACTATATTTAATACTATGTTTATTATACATTATTAAACTATTAAATTAAAACTGACACATAGAGTAAATATTATTTTAGTGTTGGATAAAATAATTAGAAAATGACTTCAAGTACTTGTTCTTGTTGTTATGAGAAATTTTTCCCGGAAATTCTATTTTTTTTTCTAATTTGGTCGCTTCAAAAATTTCTTTTATGGTATTAATTTTATCCAAAGCGTCTGTAACATATAATTTTGTTGAATTATTGTTTTAAGGTGTTTTTCTAAAAAATAAGACATTATTAAAGTAAGGTTATGAAAGTAAAAGGCACATAAATTAACTTATCGTTTTTAATAATAAAGTTTACTATTTCCGGTATACCACAGTTCCAATAATGGCAAATAAATAATATAAAAAGACAATATATAAATATAAATAAAAAACACCACGAAAAAGTAATGCAAATTTCCACACACCGACGATAAAAATTACAATGGCTGACGCAAGAAGGCAGCCAGAGGAAAAACACGACGCGATAAGCGCGCGAGAATATGCCATCAGACAATGACAATGACGAATGACGATCACACATGCGCTGCAGGCAGCGCCAAGAAAGGTGTCGTGGCGCCATATTCAAATATAGTGAAAAGAGTTGAACGTCCACATTACCGACATATTTAAAACGTCCAAAAAACATCCCAACAAAGATGTTTTAAACATGTCCTGAGCAGCGCGTCTTAAAACCGTCCGTTTTACGTACCAAGACGTTAGGACCAAAGTAAGACATAAACTGGACGGGTTGGATGAGTGGAGGAAAGTAATTTTTTTTCGATTTTCGCGATCCTCTATCCGTCCATATAATATTGTCGTATGTTAGTTCGAAATTAAAGGGTGCTCATGTTTGCCATAGGCTAATTTTATTGGGTGACACAAAATTGATCGAAAACATTTGATCGAATACGTTTGATCGTAAACATTTGATTGAATGCATTTGATCGAAAAAACATTTTATCGAATACCAATTGATCGAAAAGAAAAATGATCGAACAGAAAAATTATCGAAAAGAATAATGATCGAAAAGAAAATTGGTCGAAAATTTGATAGAAAAACCAAATATTCATAAAATTTTAGAATAATAAGAAAAATGAAAACAAAAATAACTAATTTACCTAACCTGTGTGGCCTAGAATCATCGCTGGTTGCTTCGCAAAAACAAAAAATTAAAAAATAAAAAAAACTTAAGTAACGTACCTAACTAACCTAATTTGTTCGAGAGCAATCAGTTAAATTTGAATAGCACAGGTTAGGTAAATTAGTTTTTTTATTTTTATAATTTTTGTTTGCGAGGCTAACCGCGACGTTTTCAGACTGGAGCAATTTAACTGATTGTTCTAACAGAGCTTAAGCCTTGGTTTTTAAGAACCTTCCGTCGCGAAATTTGCCGACGAAGTTTGTCGACGGAATGCGTTAGCGAATTCCGTTCACAAAGTTCGTAGGACACCGTGTTTTTTTAAGAAGACAGATTGACCGTTTAATTAGACGGAAATTATCAATTTCAGTACGCAAATCAGTAGTTTACAATCTGTGCTGTGGCTATGGAGCGTTTTCTACAGCTTTTAGTAGATGAAGAATTTTCTGATGAAGAAGACGACTTGCTGCTGAAGCTATTAAAAAATGAAAAATCGGATAACATTTTTAAAAGATGAAAATTAGAAGGAGCCTATAAAGTACTAATTATGCGACATTTACTTAAAAATGAAGAAAAATTTAGAGAATATTTTCGATTGACGCCAGTTTTGTTTGATCTAAGTTCTAAGATCTATCAATTTCTGCTCATCGTCGTTGGAAAATTGGAGCTGTTAATAACTTTTATTGGACATATTTTATAACTATAATGTCCACACCTCACGAATTTCAAATAAGAACTGACAGCGGAATTGCGCTGAAACCAAATATGTTTTGATTCCAACGGACAACGCCGGCGCATTCCGTTAAAAATAAACGCCTAACAGGTTTTAGAAAACGGACGGTTTGGATAGTACATTTTTAAATACGGCGAACTTCGCGAACGCCTTCCGTCGACGAACTACGTCGGCAAAGTTCGCGACGGAATGTTCTTAAAAACCAAGCCTTTAGGTAAGTTAGTTAGGTTTTTTAAATACTTAACTAACTTACCTAAAACTTAACTAACTTACCTAACCTGTGTCAGAGCAATCAGTTAAATTTCTCCAGGCCGTACAGGCTAGGTAACTAGGTTAGGTTTTCTTTATTTTTCCATTTTTTGTATAATTTTTTTGCGAAGCAACCCTCGAGGACTTCAGGCGGCCACAGGTTGGGTAAATTAGTTAAAATTTTTGTTTGAATTTTTCTTATTTTTCTATATTTTTTTGCGGGGCAAACCGCGACGGCTCCAGGTCGCACAGGTTGGTAAATTAATTAAATTTTTTATATATATAATTTACCTAAAATGTAGTACCTAATTTTGATAGCAGCTTAGTTTAGTTTCCCTGGTAGTAGGGAGTAGACGGACGGTTGAATGTTATCGTTTGATTTTTGAAATTTTACTATTTTTAATGTTGATTTTCGATATATTGTCCTTTCGATCTAATGAATTTTCGATCTATTGTCTTTTCGATAAAATGTTATTCGATAAAATGTATCTTCGATCAAATGTTATTCGACTAAATGTATTTTCGATCAAATTTCCAATTCGATCAAATGTTTTTCGATCAATTTTTTGCCACCCAATTTTATTAGTCAATCATAATTGTGGATCAATGAATTTCATATATCGAAGGTTGAAAAAAATACTATTTCCATTTTTTTTATTGATAACACGTCAATAGCTACTAAACAACACTAAAAAAGAAAAAATCTGTTCACAAACAGAAAAAAATGGTACTCAACAATTTTGGATTTTCCTATTTATATAAGATAATGAAAATAAGAGAGTTACAGGTAGATGAAAATATTGTCAAGATAGCAAAACACCAGCTTCTTCAAATAGCTAAATATGTGTCTTGAATTGAATTCCACGATTCCATAATTTTAATAGGTATTGTGCCCAAATTATTTTGTCGCGTGCCAGTAACAGCACACATTCTATTGGTTCGCCATCCCTACGCCTCTTTTTATTCATTCAACTCATACATTATTTTAACCTTATATTCCACAATCTAGATGGGCACCGAGCTATATGAGTGACCGTGACTCATTTCAAACTGTTGAGCTGTGATCGGTATTTTGAATTTCTTTCACCAGTCAGCCAGCGATCTAACTTAATGTACCATTCAATAATTGAATAAACTATACTTTACAATATATTCCATTAAGTTAGTTTACATAACGCAACTGCCGCAAAACATGTCAAATACGGGTCATGTTCACTCTAGGCCTGCTCAGACGTGCAATACAAATTGCCATAATTTTACTCTAACTGTAATGTGGATGTTAAACTTTAATATGAAAAATAATTTCAGTAATTCCTGATTCGCTACTGGCCGTTTTCTTTGGTTGCAAATGCTCATACTTATTGACTAAAAATAAAGATTCCTGACAGACCCAGAATAGCTCCATATCTGGCCAATTATGATTGAAGCAATTGTAGCATGACTTTTTGCTTAAACAATATCATATCATAACCTTAAAAATAATAAATACTTTGGTTACAACTTTACTATTGTCTTTTGCAACAGTAAAGAATCAAGATAGTAGCAAATATGACTATGGCTAATAAGACATTTCAATGGTATAGCTTCTAAGGATTTAATTTATATTTTTTGCAGGAAATACTCAGCATTTGATGCAGCCATTTAAAAATACCAAGTATTCAATAGGCAATATAGCAACTGCATTTTACACCGGTCTATGGGCGTATGACGGATGGAATAACCTAAATTACGTCACAGAAGAAATAAAAAATCCATCCAGGTGAGTTAAAAGTTTATAATTACAACAGAAAGTAGCTATAGTTGCAATCAATCGCTTTATAATTTAAAAGATTGACAGCCGGTTGCAATAATGTTACTTAAAATGAATGGACCCAATGATTTTTAACAGAATAACTTGAGAATGTGATATGTCTAAATTATATAAATTTTAAATGACGCACAGTCTAACAAAGTTATGGGTTCATTGGCTATCGAGAGATTTAACAAGCGTTTCTACCTCTTTCCATCTTAAAAGTGTACTGTACTCAAGTGCTAGTTATTATTAATTGTCTTTTTTATCGCTTTATTTCTTACTCATCTTTCCTATCCTAGTAATAGTGATGATCACTTTTTTCGTAGCTCCTTATACAGTCTTCAACAATACCCGTATCTCAGGTGACCATAGCGAAAAGTAACAATAACAACCTCAGGAGTAACCATAAAACAATATCACTGACCTATTTGACAGAACTGATAATTAAGATATCATAAAAGTCACTAAAATCAAATATTTTCATTAAATTTGTTGTTTTACCAGATAACGTGGGATAAGGGTACTGTTGAAGACTCGTTAAAAAAACGTTTATAGAATAGTGTAATTCATTATAAACATTTTTTTTTTGTAGGAACCTGCCACGTAGCATAGTAATAGGCATACCTCTAGTAACCATCTGCTACGCATTAATCAACATCTCCTATCTGACGGTCATGTCACCCATGGAAATGATGACCAGCGAAGCTGTAGCTGTCACTTTCGGCAATCGGGTGTTAGGCGTCATGGCCTGGTTGATGCCGCTGTCGGTGACCGTGTCGACTTTCGGATCAGCCAATGGGACGCTGTTTGCCGCTGGTCGGTTGTGTTTCGCTGCTAGCCGAGAGGGACATCTGTTAGATATTTTGTCGTACGTGCATATTAGGAGGTATACGCCTTCGCCCGGCTTAATATTTCACGTAAGTGATCTGATTCTCACAGTTTTGAAAAACCAAGCAATACATAATTGAACTTACTCTAAAAGAGTAGACCGATGGGGGTTACCCACACCCAACCCCCTTTTTTAGGGGCCTCAAGAGTAACGTTAAAACGGTGCACCTAGATGTGCATGATGTAAATTTATTTGTTTTTCTTTCAGTCTTTGATAGCCGGAGCCATGGTGATGTACGGTACTATAGACTCGTTGATAGATTTCTTCAGTTTCACAGCTTGGATGTTCTACGGAGGAGCTATGGTGGCACTAATTGTCATGAGACATACAAAACCTAACTACCCTAGGCCCTACAAGGTAAAGAAATGCACCATCATTTGTCGTTTGAATCGATAAGAATAAACTTATAATTATCATTTTGACATTTTTGTATGTTTTAGGTGCCGATTATCATTCCTTATTTGGTATTAGTGATCTCTGTGTACCTGATAATAGGCCCTATAGTGGATAAGCCTACAATCCAGTATCTTTACGCCACTTTTTTTATTCTGGGAGGGATGGTATTTTACATTCCTTTCGTGCATTACAAGTTGCGCATACCATTCATGGGTAAGTACAATAGACCTATCGCGTTGTTGATGATATAATCTCTGTTACACATGCGCAAATTCTACTTTCGCTTAAAATCATTAAAATTTGAAGTTGTTTCCTACCCTGAGTTCCATACACACATCCTCAAATGTCATTTTTTTTGCGTTTCATATTATTGGTAGGGGAACCTGTGACACATTTAGGTGTGTTGTTTGCGAAAGGTAAAATTACAAATATTTCGTTCATTCTTACCTTGTAGAACATGGAAATAGTTTGCTGCAGTCCCTGCAGCGATGAATTCCTCGACGACGACGTCTTAAAAACGCCTATTTACAAAATGCAGGCATAGAATTGCAAACCTGAATCTTTCAGATATTATTTAGATCAAAACTTAATAGAAATAAGTTTGCTGCCACCTTTTTGAATTTCGGGTTAAACTACCTTCTTGTTTGCAAGATCGATTGCAGCAAACAATTTTCATTAATCATATTCTATCTCAAAAAAATGAGCCTTGCGTAAATACAACATATTAAACGTCGTTATCGAGCGCTCCATCGCTATAGTTTATTTGAAAATAAATGATAGCAAAATTTTTATGACCCACGAGATAAACCCCAATATAACATCATAAATCGACGGAAAATTTCTAAAATAAAATGTGTTAAGAATACCCTTAACAAAAATATCAGAATCGCGGAAATGACTTTAGACCGCTCCTGTAACATTTACTTAAGTATCAATTCCGAGCAAGGTTGGCAAAGTCAATAAAGTAAAAACAATTAGCGCGGTTATCATCCACGAATTCAAAATCAATAATAATGACTGGACAAAGAAAAACGGTTGATAATATGCTTGTGCGAAATGATTGCACGAGCCGTAACAATTTTGGAACCTCGCCGACGATGTCCTTCAAACACATCGACAATTGGGTAAAACCCCACGCTTTAATGACGATCAAATTATAAATGTTCCAAGTACGATATGTGTACATAGTGTAAATAAATAATAAAATGTAGTGTGGTGTTCTTCATGTAAAAATAAACAGTGTTAAATGCAGATGTGCTTGTTGTTTCTTTCTACACACATCGCCAAAATTCTTGGATCCCCTCGTAAATACTAAAACAAAATATTTATCTTGGCTGCTATTTTTGTACATTTAATCTTTATTTATTTCACCGTTGATACATACTCATCTAAAAAAGTTTACAAAAAAAATCCCTTAATTTTAGGTCTACCAATTTTTAAAAAGTGATTCATATCGATTTTTCGTGTTTAAGTGATTGTTGAGTTTTTCTTTGCAACTATGCCTGGCAATAGAATTTCAGTGTTGAATAGAGCAAGAATAGTGGCTTTGCATAATGAGGGTCTGCCGAATCATCAAATCGCAGATAGACTAGGGATTCCCCGCGCTTCAGTTATCCGAATAGAGCGTTTGTACCAGGAAACTAACAGCGTTGACTGGAGACGTAGGTCTGGGTGTCCTAGGGTAACTAATCCAAGAGAATATCATTATGCAGCAGGTCCTGTACGTCGGAATTGAACCGTAACAGTCTCAGCTGTCCGAACTCATTTTAGAAGAACATATGGTCGATTCATTTCCAGTACAACAATATGGCTGAGACTTGCTGGAGCCAATTTACGATCTAGGAGACAAGTAAGAGTACCCAGGTTACTTCCCAGACATATAGTTGCTCGTCTACAGTGGGCACAGGAACTCAGAGACTGGCTTTTTAGCTCAGTGGCGAAATGTTCTTTTTTCGGACGAAACCAGATATGGTTTAATTAGTGATAGTCGGCGACACAGAGTTTGGAGAGGGCCAGGGCGACCAGGAAGACTATCTTTTGCCAGAGAAGTCGTTCCATACCAAGGAGGAATAGTAATGTTTTGGGGCGGCATAATGCATGGTCGTCGTACGCAACTTATTCCCATTCCAGACACTATGACAGCTTATAGATATGTTCGAAACATTATTGAACCCATTAGTTATCCTCTCCGAAATGAAATTGGAGCCAATTTTATTTTCATGGATGACAATGCTAGGCCTCATCGCACGAGTAGAGTATAAAATGCACTAGAAATTCAGAATATTCAAAGATTACCGTGACCAGCAAATTCGCCAGATATGAATACTATTAAGCACATGTGGGATTTCGTTCGACGAGCAATCTCAAACAGAAATAATCCCCCTATCACCCTCCAGGAATTCACTGTCGCGGATCAAGAAGAATGGAACAACATCCCAATGGATTAAATGAACACCCTTATTGTTTCCATGCACAGGCGAGTTAATACCTTATTGCAGAACAGGGGAGGATACCGAATAATAATGAATTTTTGATTTCACTCTAAAGTGGTTTTCTTCTGGATTTCAAATTCTAGTAATCATTTTATTATGCACTATTTTTCGTTTGTATTTTTTTCTTGTTCAGTTAAAATTTGTTAATATGTATTGGATACATAACCAAATTAAATGCACTATGTAACACACTTCTTGACTTTTAATAATAGTCTCATTTTGACAAACATAAAGGGGTCCAAGAATTTTGGCGATGTGAAGTAAACTAGGTAAATAAGGTGGTGTAACTGGTTTAATTTACACTGGTGGACACTACACCAACAGCGAACGAAAGAACCTATTGACCATAACCAGCAAACTCGCGAATGTAAACTAATTAAAAAACTGGACAGAATCAAATGATTGTATATCTATTAACCGGCAGTAAGTTCTTTGCAAAAGATTTCTTTCTAGATCACCTGCTCTTGAGACAATTGTTGCGACCATCTTTGTGGACACATTACTTCGAGAACGGATGGCTTTTGTCTAACAGACGATTGTTATTTATTTTTGAATTTCCTATGAATAAATCCACGGTTCATCATCACTAACCATGTTCTACAAGTTTTTAGAGTTTCCTCCGTTTCATCGGTCTAGAGTTTTTTGAGACCAGCTCCTTTCTGTTCATCGGTCAACAGATGTGGGCTTGCCAAATTCTCAAAATATTTCTGGATATAAACAAAGTGTGATCCGAATTTACCTGAGGCCGTACTCTAATCCAAAATGTTTAAAATAAACCATTCACACAATAATATTTTTCTTTATAATTCAAATAAACAGTAATTCATTTGGAATTTGATAGAAACATTACATCATTGTTCCATGCGGTTTTGTAGCTTGTCTTTCAAAAAATCAAATTACCCATTTTATAAAAACTCCAACACAGGTATTTTTCCAAAAATAAAGACAAACACCATTAAATATTAATAAAATATTAGATTTTTTAAAAAACTAATGTACGAACCGCAGCACAATAGTTTCTATCAGTTCGATTTTTCATTCCGTGACGTCACACCCTTCCTTAACAACGGTCTGAAGAGGCCACCGTGTTGTCTACGAACCGTGGCCAAAGCATATGTAAGCTATATCTAACGAGATATTTCTTTATAAGCCTCTTATAATAAAAAATAACAAAATCAAAACATCCTAAAATTTCTTAAAATTGAAATTCCGTTTATAAATCCCCAAACTTAAATTTGACAAATGACAAATAATAGGTTACCACGGTATGTGTGACGTCACCACAGTAACCGCAATACTGTAACCAAGTACGTTGTAGTAAGCTTATAAAGAAATGCCTTAAATTCACCATACCAATGAGAAATTGTCGCCCGTATTCTTGTTCAAAATTGTAAAAAATGTTCTCGATTTAATTTCATAGTTCGAATAACTTGTGAACTTTGTAGCTAAAACACCATGTAACTAAATAAATATATAGTTTTATTTTTAATAATGACATTTGATTCGTGATACCCTCTATATCCCTGTATGCAAAACTACTAAAAAGAAATATCTCGTATTTGACAGAATATACAATTTATACGTCGATTTATTGGTTATAAAATCAAATTATTCTTAAGAAAAATATATTTAGTTTTTTTATACGATATTTCTCAGTCACTTAAAGCGTTATTCATGTATCTATTTTTGTTTTAGATGGCGTGACAGTATTTCTGCAAATGTTACTGGAAGTGGCGCCGACATCGACAATGTTAGAATGAATTTTTTACGCTGAAAGCTAAAGAATTCTAGCTAATCTGCTCAAATTCTTGTTAGGGTTAGGACTCCTAAATGTCATGGTTACAACGAAAAATACTTTTGGATTTTTTAATACTACCAACCACTCTTTCTTTTATGAAAAATGATTTTGTTAACAAGCGCCAATTGTCAATTCTGATTAAAGAGTTAATTTTATCATATCCCATACATTATTTGTCTTAGAGTAAAGCCTTTTGAGTTAACAAATAAAAAATTTAAATTATTTTTGAGAAAAAGCATTTTTGAGAAAAAGCAATTTGATAAAATAGGGTTTGTACTGATTGTAGGGATTAACCTTAGTACCCTTCTTATTAGCCTTTCTTGGAGGATATACCTTAGTTCTTAGTGATAGATAGTTAGAGTTTAGTGTTGTCAAGTAGACAGTTTTTTTGGAATTTATATATACGTTCAATGTCAATTGGAAATAAAAAGAATTAAAAATCTTATAGGTTCTTTAATTTACAAATAAAGCAATCTATAATTGGTCCTTCGAGTTATGGAATCAGAAAAAGAAGCTATAGTTAGAAAGAGCACTAGGTGTAATTTTGGAGTACCTCCTAGAAGGTATATACCTGGTGAGACAGAAAATCTCACAGGTTTGGAAACCAGTGCAGTCATCTCAGGAAATGGTACAGCTACGCAACAGAGGGACAATGGACTAGCTACGACTTTGGTTTATAATAAAAGTTTTTCAGTCGTACATTCAGCAACTCCTGATGTTGTCGAAAGTATCCATTTAGAAACCAGAGAATTGGAGCAGAAAGAAATTAAGAAACTACAGTTATCGGCTAAAGGAAAAAAATTAGAAGCTGAACTGAAAATATTAAATATGGTAATTAAAAAGTACGAGTTACAAGAAAAACCCTTGGAAGAAATATTAATTAAAAAAGATGAATATGAATATAAGATTATAGAACAGCTACAGTTGGAAGCTGAAATGGCAGAACTTGAAGCAGAAGTTAGACTAAGCAAATTACAGCTTCAGGATCTTAAATATAAAGAAAAGTCAATGAAAAGTAGGAAAACTGATGAGAGTAAAAAATCTGAAAGAATTGATGAGAGTACTGCTACAGATAAGAATTCATTTGTAAATAAATGGGTAATGGAAGTAAATAAAAATGCAATCAAATATCCAGAAGATTTTATGGAAAATAAATCTTATGATGAATATTCTCAAAAGTATCAAAAAAGTTTGAAATATACTGTACAAAGCGAAACTGATTCTAACTTCACTAGCAACCATTCCAAGCAAGAAATAGGGAAAAGTACAAAAGCTGCGGAAACCGAGCTAAAAGGTGAAAAAGAAAATACTTTGTCAGAAACTTTAGTAAAGTGCATGAAAAATTTAACAGTTAATTTAGAAAAACTTGCAAATAAACAGTCTACAAGAGATTTACCTGAATTTTATGGCAACATAAATGAATTCCCCTTCTGGATTAATGAGTTTAAAAGAACCACAAATGAGAAGCACATATCCAACTCTGATAACTTAGGGCGTCTTAATAAATGTTTGAAAGGCAGGGCTTATCATTTAGTCAAAGATCTGTTCCGCAGTCCAGATAATATAGATCTTATCATAGATACATTAAAATTAAACTTCGGCAGAGACGAATGGATAATAATAAATCAAATTGAAAAAGCAAAAAAATGTCCAGCCCCCAGAGAAGATTCTATTGACACATTCATGCAATTTTCTTTGACGGTGTCAAACATGATTAACGCCATTCAAAATGTAGGCTGTTCCAAGCAATTAGATAATCCAGAATTGCTATTTAGATTAGAAGAGAAACTTCCTAGAAGCTCAAAACGTTCTTGGGGAGAAGTTAAGAGAACTAAACAAATTCAAAAAGAAGACGTGTATTTGCAAGATTTTTCTGAGTGGTTGAAGAGAGAAGTGGAATTGTTGATGTCTATTAGCTTACCTACTACATCTACTTACAGAAGAGTATCTCCCATGTCAGCAGATTCAAAACAAGTCTACAACATCCAGCCTGCTAAAATAGTAGAATGTCCAGTATGTAAAAACGAAGCCCATAAAATATATCTGTGCAAGAAATTTTTAATGATGAATGTAGATGATCGAAAGAAATGTGCGGATGAATTCAGAATATGCTACAGATGTTTAAATATAGGACACGTAGCAAAAAGGTGCTACAGTAAAATAGTATGTAATATTAGAAATTGTAAAAGAATACATCATCGTCTTCTTCACAATGGGAAAAGTAAAGTTAAACTTGATGAACAGGCGTCAGATGAAGAAAACTATGAAAAAACAGATGAACAACGGCACTTGGCTGCAAATATATTAGAAACTACAGAAACAACATGCGTATTAAAAAGAAACACTATCAAGCCCCAAACAGTAATTCTAAAGATAGTTAAAGTCACCCTCCAAAATAATAACAAATGCATTGATACATATGCCTTATTGGATGAAGGTTCTACGGTAACTCTAATAGACTCAGACCTTGCTGAAATCCTTAATTTGCAAGGACCTACCTCTGTCATTTGTTTGCAATGGGCTACTCAAATTAATTATAATGATGACTCTTCTAAGATAGTAAATTTTGATATATGTTCTCATCAAGATCCATCTAAGTCCTATAGGATCAAAAATGCTCGAACAATAAGCAAATTAGATTTACCTGAACAGTCACTTGATGTAGAATTTTTGTGCATGAAGTATCCCTACATAGATCCTGAAATATTAGAAGCAGTTAAACATGCAAAACCGAGGGTTCTGATAGGTCAGGACAATGTTTCTCTTTTAATACCTAAAGAAATTATTCAGCCAAACTATAACGAAGTAGTATTAAGTAAAACCCTTCTGGGATGGGTTATTCATGGCCCTTATTCACAACAAGATCATCGTTTAGGATTAGTTAATCTATGTAGACATGATGAAGATTACTTAAATAAAATTATTGAAGATCATTTTGAAATAGAGAATTGCTATGAAAATTCTAAAAAATTATCTAAAAATGATGAAAAAGCATTGGAAATTTATAATAAAACTATTAGAAAATTGGATGATCGATTTGAAATAGGATTCCCTTGGAAAGAAAATAATATAGTATTACCTGAAACCTACAATATGGCTTACACCAGATTAAAATGTATGGAACGTAAAATGGATAAAGATAGAGATTTCGCAGAAAAATATTGTCAGAAAATAGAAGAATATATTAAAAAAGGTTACGCAAAGAAGCTGTCTTCCATCAATCTAGAAGAGGATACCAAGACATGGTATCTTCCACATTTTGGAGTAATCAATCCCAAGAAACCAAAATTAAGATTTGTTTTTGATGCTGCAGCTACAGTATCTGGAACAAGTTTAAACGATTTTCTATTAACTGGCCCGGATTTTTATCCACTACTAGTTGGGATTTTATTTAGATTTAGAGAAGGACAGATAGCATTTACGGGCGACATTAAAGAAATGTTTCATCAGGTGGTCATAAGGGCAAAGGATCGAAGTTGTCAACGTTTTTTATTTAGGGGGATGGACAGAAACCGAGCCCCAGATGTGTATGAAATGAGGGTTTTGATTTTTGGTGCAGTTTGTTCTCCATCAATAGCACAATTTGTAAAAAATTTTAATGCCGAACTTCATAAAAACGACTTCCCCCAAATAATGGAAATAATGTTAAAGCAGCACTACGTAGATGATTACCTAGACTCAAAAAACTCTATGGAAGAAGCATTGAACACGGTAAAAATGGTTATTGAGATACACCGAAGAGGTGGATTTCAGATGGTAAATTGGATGAGCAATTCTGAAAAGTTACTACAAGAACTTCCAGAAGAATACATATGCAAAAAGAATAATATAAATTTGGATTACAAAAATTTAGATAGAATTCTCGGCTTATATTGGAATACAAAAGATGATAATTTTGAATTTACATTAAAATTTGATAAAGTTTCACATAATATTTTAAATAATAAGGAAGTACCCACAAAAAGAGATATTTTAAAAGTCATAATGAGCATCTTTGACCCTCTTGGATTTTTGTCACCTTTGATCATTTTGGGAAAACTTATTTTTCAAGAATGTTGGGGAAGAGAATTGGGTTGGGACGAAAAGATTCCTAAAGAATTACATACGATATGGGAAGAATGGATAATAAAATTAAAGAATATTGAGAATTTCAGAATTTGCAGATGTTATTTTTCCAAAATTGTTACGGAAGTAGAGGTACACGTATTCGCTGATGCTGGAGAAAAGGCATTTTGCTGCGTTGCTTACTATAGAAGTAAACATGACGAAAACGATATCCAGGTAGCATTTATTTCTGCTAAGAGCAAAATTGGACCATTAAGAAAGCTAGTTACCATCCCACGTATGGAACTTCAGGCCGTCGTTTTAGCTGCAAGATTGGGAAAATTAGTTAATAGTGAAACTAGATATAAAATATTGAACACATATTTTTGGACTGACTCAGAAATTGTTTTAAATTGGATATGTTCTCCAAAGCATCGCCTGAAGTCCTTTGAGGCTAACAGAATTCAAGAAATATTAGAGCTAACAGAAGCACGTAACTGGAATTGGATTTCGTCGAAAGATAATCCTGCAGATTTGGCTACAAAAGATAGACGAAGAGAGAATACTTTAGAATCACATATATGGTTGCAAGGTCCGCCATTTTTAAAAAATAAAGAAATTATGGAGAAAGTTATGAAAACATCACAAGAAAAACTACGCAGGTTTTCTGTAAATGTAGTAGCCATAGCCGAAAATAAAATTTCTCTGAGGAACTGCTTACCAGATCCTATAAGATTTTCGAAGTGGTCTCGTTTTCTACGTTCTACTGCTTGGGTACTTAGATTTATATATAATTTAAAGAATTTAAATAGCCGGAAAAGTAATGCAGAATTAAGAGTAGAAGAATATCAAAAAGCGGAAGAAGTAATATGCAAATACATACAATATCAAACCTTTAGTGAAGAAATAGAGTGTCTTAAAAAGAAAGAAAAGATTACAAGTTCTCCTCTGTTGAAATTGTCTCCATTCTTGGATGATGCAGGAGTTCTTAGAATGAACAGTAGAATAATCTACGCCGATATTGAGTTTAATTCAAAATTCCCCATAATATTACCTTCTGGAAAGAAAAACAAAATAGTAAAGCTCTTAGTAAAGTCCTTTCATGAAAAGGTGAAGCACACTGGAAGAGAAACTGTTGTTAATAATATAAGACAAAAGTTCTGGATTATTAGTGTTAGAGAAACTGTAAAATTAGTAATTAAGGAATGTGCATATTGTAAAATTCGAAGAGCAAAGGC